TGATGTTTTTTAAACAGCGGTGAGTTTGTCTCAGTGAAGATGTTTGCTGACTGCATGCGTTCATAGGAGGCTTCCCCCCTAATTTTGAAAGCAAACAGGTGACTTACAACTTTTAGTATTTACTCAGCAAAGATGGGCAGGGGGAATTTAAATGTTGCTAAAGAAAGACCTCCTGCTTAAAAGGCCTGGCCTGTGCTTGTTTATATTCAATCTGAAGTTAGTTAAATTGGGTATAGTTAAGAGCACTTATCATTGACCTTGTGGAAGGAAAGGCTTAGGTGTGCAGGGCTGTGGCTCCAGTTGTGTGTGTGAGTGTGTGTGTACGAGCTGTTTTCCTTGTAGGGAGCTGAAGACAGTAAAGACAGAATAGTTTGTTTTGTTTCCAAGCTTGCTGACATCTGTCTGGTGTGCTTAATCTTGTTTAAAAATCTTTTCAAAACACTTCGGAAAGGCCTGGTTACACAGTAATAATCGAAGCCCACTGATAGCATTGCTTCATCTTGCTGAATGAAAACTCCTCTCTGGCACCCCTTGTCCTCAGAGGTCTCCCTTTCAGGCCAGGTGGGCTTTTTAAAGCCAGTTCACAGGCCGCAGTGTCTCTTACTGGCGAGCACACTGAAACCAGAACTGGCGTGTGGTGCACGAGTCCGCACTCAGACCCTTTTCCGGACCCTCCCTGAGTCCCTGAGCCAGTTTTAGCTGCCCTCGTGCCGCTCCCAGGAGGTGCTCCAGTGCCCTGGGCTGCACCTCTGGAGGTGGAGACTGGCCCTAGCCGCTGCCCAGCCCTGCCTGCCCCTCACTCTGCAGCATCTTTCCACCGGCTGTTAGGGAAGCAGGTGGACAGCGTCCCTGCCAGGGGCTGCGACCTCGGTGGTTTCCGTGAAGTACAGGGAAGAGTTTAAAGTTCCATGTTTTGATCGCTATTGTGATGGTTCTGTAGAGTCCTCTTCACCTGTCAGATTAAGAAAAAAGAATACAGGAGGTTGACAGGAATGGAGTTTTTGACCAGGCCTGGGCCACCCTGTTGAGGCGACCCCTGGCTTGCCAGAGGGGCGTGTTTGTTGAGGTTGAGGGTTCACAGCCACTTACTTGGAGATGGGTAATTTGGGGGGCCGGGGGACAGGAGGTGTGCGGGACACCAAACATTCCGTGGCTGTAGATGGAATTTTTATGTTTTTAAGGATTTTTAGTACCTGTCATCTCATACTATGGAAATCATCACTCTGGACCCTGAGACGCAGGGGCCCGGCGGCGAGGGCCTTCAGGGGCCGCCTGCTTCCGGGGCAGGCGGGGCGCAGCAGCACCCCGTCAGCGAGGGGGTGGCAGGTACCCTCACTGGTGGCCGGAGCATTGCGCTTCTCTGAAGCGTGTCTAATGCGGTGTGTGCGGGTTAGAGCCCTCGAGGCGGCCCACCGAGCGCGAGGAGCGCCAGGCTGCGCTGCAGGCATTGGGCCGCACAGCTCCTGCGCCCCTCAGAGGTGGTGTTGTGGCGAATTGGGGGGAGGAAAAAAAAAGAAAACTTAAGTCATCACTTAAGCCAGAATAAATTAAACCCTGGTATTTCTTTAAAGCAGAAGCAGACGTTTGAATAGCTCTCTTGCTTCCGGTTTTGGGCACTGCTGAAGGCTCAGTGCTGCCTTTCTCTTACTCGAGCAAAGGTCTGATGTTTTTGGGAAAGCCGAGGAAGCATGTTTGCCAGCGGTGCCCCTCGGTGAGCTGAGTGTGTTCCTGTGGCTCACTTCCCCACGAACTTCAAAGCAGCCGAGCTGTGGCCGTGACCGAAGGGACCCCGCTGCCCCCTCCTGCTTTGCTGACGGCGGGCCCACTGGGCATCAGCGCGACATGGGCGCGGCCGTCTCTTCTGGGGCCACAGCCCCCCTCTGTCCACTCAGAGGCTGCTGGTCTTAGCCGAGCCAGACTGTTCCATGGGCTCTGATGTCACTCGAGCATCACCACGGCCGCCTGGGGAGCTCTCCCTGTGCGGCAGACGAGTGGCAGGCCGAGGGGGTCGCTGCCGATGGAGACGCCGCGTGACAGGCTGAGGCGGTTTCTGTCCTTGTGGCCACAGGTCCAGGTTGGCGCGGAGGGTCATGCTGGCGGGCAGTTTGGTGGGGCCCTGAGAGTGGTGATAGATCCAAGGGGTGCAGTGTTGCTTGTGCTGATCCACTTCGTGGTGCCATTAAACGTGGGTCCTTATTTTTATTATGCTCTTGAAACCGCACAGAGTAATTAGGTGGTGCCCATCCGTAGCCAGGTAGGAGGCGGGATGGGCACTGAAGTTCATTTTACTGTCAGGTACCAGAGGGGCATGTCCTGTGTGTCGGGGCCTCGGGGGCGGGGGACCCCTCTTGGCACTGCGCGGGGCCCACAGGCCTCTGCTCCTGGGATCTGATTTGGTGGCGGTGGCAGAGGCTGGCAGTGACAAGGACTCCAACAGGTGGTTTCAGAGGTGACCAGAAGCCACGGGAAGCCGTCGCTGGTTGTGGTGGGAGACTGGGGGTGAGGAGGGGGCGTTTTTGGGGTGAGTGGTGAGGATTTGCCACGCGGGCAGCTGGACACAGTCTGGAGCAGAAGCTTCCCTGGAGTAAGAGGCACTGTGTGTGTTGGAGGAGGGGAGGGGGGCCTCTTCCCCGCTGACACCAGAGGACTCTGATCTTCAGCTCCCCAGCCTCGACCCCGGGGAGAAGGCAGGCAGCCGGGCCAGGGACTGGCCTCCTTCCTCTCCAGCCCTTGAGCTGGCTAGAGCTGACTCGACCAGATGGCTGAGAATCTCAGAGGTCCACAGGAAACCCACTCTCTGCTGCATCTCCCAGCTGGGCTGTCTCCCTGGCAGGAAGTGCGAGGCTTGCCCCCACCTCAGTTTCTCATCCAGAGGTTGAGTTTAGGGATGGTGTCTTCTTTTCGGGGAAAAAATATTTACAGAAGAGTGGCGTTGTCCCATGTTTAAAGATTCTACAGACTAGTCAGATTTCTAACAAATACTGACATTAACAGGCCGAGGGCAGCCAGGGGACTACCTTTGATTTTGCCAAATAAGGACACAGAAAATACCCCCACGGCCATTGCCACTTTTACTTTTTCAAGGGGCATTTTGACAGAGGACCTCACTGAAGGCCAGTGTCAGTGACACGAGTCCCTGGGGCTGTGGGGGGGCTCCGGTCCCTCAGCTCCTCTCCTGCATGTTGTCCAGTGGAAACACCGTGGCACTGCCAGCCTGGAGGTGCGCTGTTATGCTTCCGGGCTGGCGCTCGGTAAATACTCATTGGATGAGCAAACGATGACTAGAAACCTCAGTTACCAGTCACATGGCAGACGCAGCGTGCGGTCCTCGTGCGCCGAGGCCCGAGTGTGCTGTGCGTCTGGCCATGCAGGCGGAGCACTCCTCAAGCCTAGGCTTTGGGGCTTTCGGGCTGATGCTGTGATGGGGTGTGTGCCCCAAGTGGAGACGCACCAGGCGAGGGGGTGACGGCCGGCCGGCTCCGGGTGCTGCGCGGCCCTGGACGCCGCCGCAGCAGTGGTTGGGCGCCGCCAGGGCCTCCTCTCGCCCTCTTGGACCTGCTGTCCCCGTAGAAATCTCTCTGCTTCAGAGCTCCGCGAAAGGGAGCATTTTCTTTTTTAACATGTAAAGAAGAGCTGCTTCTGGGCTTCTGAACCTACTGTCCTGGTCTTTGAGGAAGTGGAGAGAAGGAAAGTAGGTTTGTTTTGAACTTGCACTGCAGGGTAGGGAGTGGTCTGCAGGCCTCTTTGTTTTCTTGGGTGTAATTCACTGACTTCAGTTAGAGCAGCAGGGGCTTTCTCAGCCAATTCCTGTGCTCGCCCCTGGGTGGGGGTGGGTGGGTGGGTGTGATCTCAGGTTAGTGCTCCAAGAATGAAAAGTAACCTCCACATCAGCCTGCACAGCTACATGGAAGTAATGCTTCACCATCCTAACCCCTCCCCCCCCCTCCAAAAAGAAAGAAAAGAAAAGAAAACCTGGCCAGTGTATCTTGTGAACACTCATTAAAAATGAGAGGATCATTTTCTGGGGAAAGATGCAGCCATCTGACCAGCCGAGTTGAGGGTTCTGGTAGAAACTTTGTGTGCTTTTTTTTTTTTTTCTTTTAAAAGCTTCATTTATGCATACAAGAATTGGGGTGTGCGCAGGCCAGAGGTTTTGGGGTGAGGACTTGTCAGAGATGGTAGGAAGCAGAACAGGCAGATTGACTGTTGGGCCCAGTTAATACACTGCTGAGGGCCCCAGTGGGAGGGACAGGAGAGGCCTGCTGGGCCTTGTGGGTCCCTCCCTGGCCGGGGATCGAACTGGCGCTGCGGCAGTGGCTGCGGATGGCTTCGTGGTGCTGAGCTTTAACCCGCTGCGCCCTCAGGGAGGGCCTGACACTGTATCCTTGAGTAGCTCTGTGCACTGCTTCCTTACGCTTTTGCACAAGGAACTCTCCTGCAGTTGGCTTGGTTCTCCAGGCCACCCAAATACATCAGGTTCTCGTGGCAAGGTGGACGGCCATCCTGGGGGATTCTGTGCTTCTGAGTAGGGAGTTGGGAGAGTCCTGCTTGCGGGTGAACTCTTTTGGTGTGGGGTTAGGCATGTGTGCCCCCCTGTGCTTCTCTCTGTGTGACTGCTGGAGGCACTGGCTCAAACCTTCTCACCTAAGGAGCTGACATTCCCAGTCAGTTTTCACGAGCCTTCCGGTTTCAAGGCTACAGGTGGCATTTTAGTGACATTCAAAATGAATTCTGCTGAATTGAACAGTTTTCTCCCATGAAATTTGGCACTTACGGTCAGATCATTACAGCTCTGTATCTTAAGTTTCTTAACGGTGACGGTCTGTCAGCTTAAATAGCTGCACCCACTGGGTAAATGCTAAGGAGTTAGTGAATACACAGCCCTGGGCCACACTCTGGCGGCCTTAGCGGAGGTGAGGAAAGCTGGGAGGGGCCCGCAGCTCCCCTCCCCAGCCTTCCTCTTTCCAGGTGTAGCTCACTGTTGGCTTTTTTCCGCCTAGGTTTTGGAGATCCCTTATCTCCCGGGTGCTGGGATCGACTTCTCGCTCAGCTGAACTGCTCCCTCGATGGGGACAAGGAGAGAGGTGCTCTGGGCTGACTCCTGAATCGGAGCGTCGGACATCTGCCCGCCTTGTTAGCGGAAACAGCTGGTGACGCCTCTGCTTCCTGAGACTTCGGAGACCAGAAGTTAGAGGAATACACACTTTCTCTGGAACTTGGAGGATAAATATTTGCTCCAGTTTTGAAGCCTGGGGCTGCTGGAGGTGTGAGTGACGAGTCTTGCAAGTGTCCTTACTCCAACTCAGAAATTGCTGCCCGGGTTCATAGCTTCCCCTGCGACCCCAGAGGGACAGGAAAATGCCCACCCAGTCCCTCTTGGTGTACATGGATGGGCCGGAAGTCATCGGCGATGCGCTGGGCCCCCAGATGGAGCTGGATGATGCCGTGTCCATGAAAGGGACTCCCTCGGTCCCTTTCAGGGCGACGCAGGACAAGGGCACGGCCCAGGTGGAGGGGCCCCTGCCCCTCGACTGCATGTTCTGCAGCCAGGTCTTCGCGCACGCCGACGACCTCAACAAGCACGTCCTGGCGCAGCACCGGCCCACCCTCTGCGAGCCCGCCGTCCTGCGCGTGGAGGCCGAGTACCGCAGCCCTCTCGACAAAAGCCAGGGCCGGGCGGACCCTCCCAAGGACAAACCTGGCAAGGAAAATGAAGAACTGAGCTGCGAGGTGTGCGGGCAGACCTTCCGGGTGGCCTTCGAGGTGGAGATCCACATGAAGAAGCACAAGGACTCCTTCACCTACGGGTGCGCCGTGTGCGGGCGCAGGTTCAAGGAGCCCTGGTTTCTGAAAAACCACATGCGGACACACACGGGCAAGGCGGGGGCCAAGGGCAAGCTGCAGGCCGGCCTGGAGAGCCCGGCCACCATCAACGAGGTGGTGCAGGGCCAGGCCCCCGAGAGCGTCGCCTCTCCTTACAAAATCTGCATGGTTTGTGGCTTCCTTTTTCCAAATAAAGAAAGTCTGATTGATCACAGGAAGATGCACACCAAAGACAGGGCTTCCGGCCCAGGCCCCCAGGCCGGCCCGCGGCAAGAGGGCGCGCGGGCCCCGGGGGAGGAGTTCCTGCAGTTTCTCAGCCTCAGGCCCACCTCGCACCCCGAGACCGGCCGGCAGCCGGCCAAATGGATACCTCAGCTCGACCCCTTCACCACCTACCAGGCCTGGCAGCTGGCCACCAAGGGCAAGGTGGCCGTGTGCCGGGAGGTGAAGGAGCAGCCCGGGCAGGAGGGCAGCACCGACAACGACGACTCGTGCTCCGAGAAGGAGGAGCTGGGCGACATCTGGGGCGCCGGCAAGGGCCAGGCCGAAGGCGCCGGCAGGGCCCGGCCGGGCA